AGGAGCAAGGACGCTACTAGGGGCTCCTGGCCGTACTACTAGGAACAAGAAGCTATTAGAAACAAGAAGCTATTAGAATTTCAGCTGCAGGGCTATGGTGTCTTGCTGATTTCTGCACTTTTGCCGGTGGACACACTGCAAGCAGTGTCGCGAGTGGCCGGTGTTCCCAGAAAAGAGAAAGAGGGAGGTTCCGTTTGGAGGTTGGAGAGGCCATTCCTATTAGGTTGGAGGTTCCATTTGGTTTCGTTTGTGACTAGACGACTCAAAGACTGAGGTCAAGAGCAAGCAAAGTGCAGCAGTTGTTCTAGCATTCGATGGGACTCTCCTGCAGGGTGAGGAGCGGGCAAACGTATTGTATGTTTGTCAAGAAAAGAGAGAAAAGAGGGCTTTACAACGTGAAAGAGAGCCAGAATGTTTAAGACGAACGCGAAATGGCGTGAGGACTTGGAAGCACGAAAAGAGTTCCTGGAAGAGCGCCTTGCATCTGATATCTGTTCATATGGAATTTTCAGAGCGCATTGAAGCATAAGTAGACATGATAGGCATACTGCGAGTTGCGAGCATTTGCACCAGGTGCAACTATGTATTTCCATACAACCCCAGCTACACAGTCCTCCTGGCTGGTTTTTGCTGGCAGCTTGCCCGATGGCATGCCGTCCATTTGATACAACTAATTTTCGTGTTTGGCCAGGGCCTGGCTGCAATCCTGGCACGCTTCGACGTCACACATGTGGACAAGGGCTTGGCCTGTGTACCATTTACCAGTCACAAGAAGGAGCCGCATCCCAAAGCCTGAGTCATACGAATCACGCTTTCGTCTACGAATCGCGATCAAGACAGATCAGCCGCTGCGGTGAGTCACTGCTGACTCATCGCTTCTAGGTTGGAGGCCCTTGCTACTAGGAACAAGGACGCTACTAGGGGCTCCTGGCATCGTTACTAGGATGCTACTAGGAGCAAGGATGCTAGGTTGCAAAAGGGTTCTCCAAAGAAGCGGCCTCGTTGAGGGTCAACGTTCTCCGTGAGGACTTCCTGGAAGATGTTCTCTGCGTTTTGGAGAAGAGAGGTCCGAATGGCCAGAAAATGCTTTCTAGTAGCAAGGCACCTTACTAGAAGCAAGGATGCTAGTAGCTCCTGGCCATACTACTAGTTGCAAGAAGCTACTAGTAACAAGTGCATCGCTAGTAGTAACAAGTGCCTTACTAGTA